CCAGAGGTACTGAGGTTATGGAGAGTAGTATTTCTTAAGTGTACACATAAGCTACCGTCTTATGTATGAGTTGGATGACAAATATAAGGAAAATTTCCTTCCCAATTGTCTCAAAATTCAGTTGTGGAAAAATGTTACTGTTGGTAACTCGGCTTACCCACTACAAGAGCCCCCATTTCAGATTATTAAAAGTTTTTCCTCTGAAAGAAAGACAAAGGCTGGATATTTTCAATCACCACTTTTATTCAAACTGACATCACATGGCTGCGATTATGATACATTGAAAAGTCCACAGAATTTCTGCCCCCCCCACCCCCGCAAAGCATTAACTATAAAGAAACACCAGACAAACTCAAACTGAGGGACATTCCACAAAGAAACTGGTTTGTACACTTCAAAATGTCAAGTTATTAAATACAAAGAAAGGCTGAGGAACTGCTCCATACAGAAGGAAACTGAACAGTCATGACAGTGGGTGATCCTGGGTAGAATTCTGGACCTACAGAGGGAACTGTAGAACAATCTGTAAAATCCAAACGAGGTCTGTGGAATAGAGTTATACCATTATCAATGTTGATTTCTTGACTTTGATGGTGTGTACTGGGGTTATGGAGAAGTGTAATTGTAAAGAAGAGTGTTCACCATGACCAGTACCATCACCAACACTGCCTGGCTCTCCAGCCTGTGGAGATTAAGAGAATGGCTAACTTGGATGTGATTCTCAGTTCTGTTACATTCAAGCACTCCACTGTGAAAAAGATTGAGAAAACACAGGGTAATGTGTTGACAATGAAAATGAGAATTCACAGAGCACAGTGAAGAATGCCAAGATGGGCAGTAAAGGGAGTAAGAGTCAAAGACAGAGAAGTATAAAGCATTCAAGTATGGGATAAGGGCACTTAAAAAGGCAGATATCCAGTTGGTCTTGGAAATGGGGTAATAATCAAGGGTAACAGGTATGAGAGCCATAAAGGAACAGCTAGCCTCAAGCCTAACAGCTTTTATCATATTTGTCAGGAGACCAGCATTCTGTTACCAGCTTCATTAAAAACTAATTATAAATACTATTCAGCAATAAAAAAAGAACAAAATACTGATACATGCCACAACATGAATGACCCTCAAACACACTATAGTAAATGAAGAAGCCAGACACAAACACCACGTATTGTATGATGCCATTTACATACAATGTCCAGAAAAGGCTAAACTATACAGACAGTAGATTAGTGGTGTCCTGGCACTGGGGACTGTAATCCCCATCTGAACACAGTAAATAACAACTCATTTGTAATCCCAAAATTGAGGCATAGAGCTATTTAGTGACAATCACAGTACCTAACTCATAGGGCTCTTTGAAGATCAAATGAGATAATACAGGTTAAAAGCTCAGAACAATGCCCGGCACTTAGTAAGTAAGGGCTCAAGATGTACACGCGCGCGCGCACACACACACACACACACACACACACACACACACACGTCCAGCTTAAAAACTTAGAAAATAAAATGCATGTAAAAAAACAACATGCATATAATAAATTATAAACGTAAATAAAGTACAAGTTCATACTTATTTAAAGATTCAGCAACAAATTATAGTTCATCCTACACCTATTTCTTAATCAAGGTAAATTATTTAAAATATTTGGGGAGAACTTTTTAAATACACATATAAAGTATAAGAAGAACAAAGGAAACTTACTGTCTCATTTCCCAATATTTGGGGTCTAAATAAAGTTTAAGGAAATGTTGAGACTCTTCCTCAGCCTCTCATCTTCTCAGGTTGACATTTTGATGTGTTAATTCCCTAATTACATGATTTTTCCGTATGTTCCACATTTTATTATATAGAAAAGTCCTTTAGTGAATATGGACATCCATCATATATTTTTACTTTAGTAATTTTTTATCACAGAGAGTAGGCTGTTGCTCCATCTTAGCAATAGAATCCTGGACCAAAAAACCCAGAAATCATTACTATTGAGGCCCAAGGCCCTGACCTCAGTGACATACGTCTACTTTTCCATGTTTTCTTGTCCTTTATAACATACGCTATGATACTGGAGGCATCGAAGTTCTCTCTTCCCGCCAGGTGTCAACTAATGGTGTGGCTTCTGCCTCCTGAACTCAGTCTCGTTCATTGACTCTTTCGATACAGGTATATGAAGTGAGAAGTTGCTAACCCGCTACTCCACCAGAGAAACAAATAGCTGTTAAATTTAATCCTTTGAAATAAGGACTCCATGAACATACCTGTATATCTTTGGTTAAACTATTTCCTCACCAGCATCAACATTTATATTCTCTTATTTATTATCTCTAAGACCATTTATAAAATGAATTCGTCTTCATTATTCTCTGATTCCTTAAGTATTCCCAGAAAAACTTCCTAACTTGAGGAGAAAGTAGAGACAAATTTCAATATTTGATAAATTTTATCTTGGCAACTTTGAAAACAAATTTACTCTTTAAACTGCATTATAAAAAATACATTAGTCTTCACATTAGCTTTACATGGAAATATATACTTGCTTGAATATTTAAATATAGTTTCTCTTTACCAAAAAGTGTCACTCAGAGCCCTAATTACACAAATAAGTTAAATGCACAAATGCAAAACACACTTCACACAATATTGTCCACATACTGTATAACTTGGGACAATCATAATAAAAATTTATGCAAGATACTGAACAAGGACAAGATTAATAAAATATTCATTGTGGTTATAACTTGATTTATCACTATTAAAAGAATTTAATGCACTCTTGAATACACAAAAAACATCCAACTGTTTCATCTAAACTGCAAATGAAGCCAAAATATATTTTGACAAAGGGGCACATCTTGTAGCCTACCAAATTCTGAAAGTAATTCATTTCTAATTTAATTTAAATTATAATTTTTACAATTTCAAGTTTTCAAACTTGTGTAAAATAATGACTACAGGAACTTATAAACATTTGCAAAATGTTAAAAAAAATAATCAGGACTGTATTATACTTTGATATTTTTAGTAATATAAATTTTCAATATAAACCTTTTTTCTCTCAAAAAAATGGTATTTAGAAGAGTCTCCAATGTGAAAAAAGTAGTAAAATTTTTTAACTGTTTTGATCATTTCACTTATAAGAACTGTCCTCTCCGTGTGATGCAATCACAATAGATATGACACATCATATTCATTGAGTACATTATTTCCATATGATCTGCTTTTTAACTTAAGCCTAAAGCATCCAGAATGCCTACTAATAGTACTTAAGGAAATTACCGTGTCTACTTTATAGGGAAAAAAAGACACCAGTATCCACAAATAGAATATTTTCACATATTAACTGCTGTTTACTTCCTAAACAATAGGACAGTTTTCTTTCTAAATTAAAACTGGAGGATTATTTTAAACTTAGTGGCCCATAGTATCATTTTAAGGAGGGGAATTAAAATATGTTTGTATATGAGGCAAGGCCGAAGTTGCTTTGCAACTAAAAATATAAACATTTGCCCATTTGTTTTTCAACAGAATTACTGTTTTAAATTTAGAAGTAAAGAAATTACAACAGAAAGCCATCATAACATACCCACAGGTTAAAAACGGCCCCTGAAATAAAACTACATTTAGACACCAACTGTTACACTATATTTCATTAAGTCTAAAGTAACACATTTTTATCTCTGAAATCATGGTACACTGATCTAGTTTCAATAAGATATGGTTTATACAAGAGAGTTGAAATTCATGTTTCCTTTAACATTAATGATAGAAAGGATCCAGGATCCTTGTCTTAAACAGGGTAATTAGATGTGTCTGTACCAGCTCAACCAGTGTCCCCAAATAAAGGATCTAAACATGTTCTGAGTATCTCAGACCTAACTGCTTATCTTAACGTCTTTTGTTTGAACTATTAAAATCAGTTAGTAAGTTTAAGGAAAGCCAAACGAATGTACAAATATGTAGTTTTTCCCTTGCAAAACTGGCCTCCACGTAGGTTATCAGTTTTATTAGATCTTCTGAAATACTAAGATTACAAATAATTTGTTAAGGACAATTAATGGTCTGCCCAAATTACCAAAGCTGTAATTTTAGTTCAATTTCAGTTCAATAATTACAGAAAATGATAGGATAGTGGCTGAAATGTTTTTAAGAGGTAAGGCCATAAAGATAACCCAGATTTTCATATTAAACCACCAGTACTTCAGGTGGAAAGGAATAAAGGTGGTGGGAAACATAATTACACTGGCAAGATCATTTTCCCCTTGAGATCTAATAATGCTAAAGAAAAACCTACAGAGACTGTATATGTGCACGTGTCCAAATAAGTTAGAAACTTGCAAATCCAATTTAAAGGTAGCAGAAGGAGTTTGTGTGTATGTATAGAAAATCACTAGGCAGTTTTTAAAAACTGGATTAAAGATTATGGAATCTCATTTTCTTGGATGCTTTTAAAAGAAAGATCAATTCTATTTTGTTGGTGGTTATTTAAATCAACCTCACTGGAAAGCTGAGATAACTTATTCTAGTTTTTTAATTCTCCAGTTAGAATACGGTATTGACAATGCCACTCTGAAACGCACAGAAGTACATATTCTTTTGTTTCAATTTTTAAAAAGTAAAAATAAGGTAGCATTTAATGTTTGCCACATTCATTTTTGCAGTATTATGACCTGCTGACATGAGATACAGTCATAAAAAATAAATAAGAGGGACGTGATTTGAAGGAGAAAAAAATGTGTATATATACTGTGCTAAATTATAGCTAGAAATTAAGGTGAAGCTCTTCTACGGCAAATGGACAAAGGATGCGTTTGGATCTCTAAAAAAAAGAGAGAGAGAGAGAGAGAGACCTTAAACACTAATCTTAAATGAATTATAAAAGTTCTGAAAAATAATGTCTGTAGCAAAATAGTTGAAGGTAATTTTTTTTCACCGAAGCTGGGAAAGCTATGTGCACAAATGTGTTTCGAGTGAGGCAGGGACTGCTCAGCTCGCCTCCACGCGTCTAGGCGGTCTCGTTGGCCTCTCGCTTGCTTGAGAGCCGAGTCCTCATCCTGTCGGAGTAGGGCACCTGGGAATACAGGCTTCTCAAAGCGTAGATCTTCACGGGTCGGGAGAGTCGTCTTCTCTTCTTCCGAGAGCGTTTCTTACCATTCCTCCTCCTGCCTGCCCCACCCTGCCCCGGCGGCTTGGGGGCGGAGCCGGGGGTCGGGAGGGACCGCCCCTCAGCCGGCCCGGCCGCCCCAGCCGCCACCGGCGGAGCTCGCGGGACCGAGGGAACCGAGGGAAGCCGCGGGACCGGGGGAACCCGCGGGGCCGAGGGAAGCCGCGGGACCGGGGAAACCGGCGGATCCGAGGGAACCGGCGGATCTGCGGGCACCGGCGGAACCGACGACCTCAAAACCATATGGGTGGTGCTCCTCGCCGCCGCCTTCGCCTTGGGGGGTTCGCATTTCTTCTGGTTAAGATGCAGTCGGAGAAAGGCGCTCCTGGACTGATACTTGCGACGCAGGAAAGAGTATTTTGAAAGATACTTTCGAATGATATCGTTTACTTTGGTCTGAATCCAAATTGGCCGTCTTTCGGAAGCGATCCTGGGCTGTGCCTGGAGACTCATCGGTTTATAAACCTTCGTGGGGAAGTCTGGCTTGTCATCATTCGTTGTCACCCTCCTCTGAATTTTCTTTTTACCTTCTGAGAACTTCCCGGTACCTGCTTCCGAAGAGGTCCCGGCGGCGTCGCTGGTGACGAGCGTTACCTGGAAATTACTTTCCTTCGGAGCTGCGCCCGCGCTAGCGCTCGAAGTCCCTGAAGTCCCCGGAGTCCCCGGCCCTGAAGTCCCCGAAGGCCCCGGCCGGGAAGTCCCCGAAGTCCCCGGCCGTGGCACTCGCTCAGGTGAAACAGGGGCCCCCGGATAGGCCAGCAATTCATCTCTTATGGTCAAAACGGATGTTGGGTCACAGTCTTCAGCGTCTTCATCACCTGAACTGGAGCTCAGGTCGCTGAGACTAGCTTGAAGCCAGTTAACTCTGTCAGGGTCTGATACATCTATGCTCAGAGGAGGATTAATTACAATTTCCTTACTCAGTGGGTCATAGTAATTAAAGGAGCTCCGTTTGTATTTGTACTCTATGCTAACATCCCGACTTCTGGGGGTGCGGTATTTTTTAGCGAAGTTGGCAGTTTCACTGTCCTGAAATTTCATGTTTGAAGAAATAACGTAGACTAAGGCATTGGGTTGCAAAGGCTTCAGAACTTTAGTACATGTTTCAGGATATTCGTGTGCTCCAATTTTCACTTTCTTTTTTGTTTTTTTGTCCTGTTGAAGCGAACGCTTCCCTGTTGGCGAGTCGTCCTCCTGTCCACTGTCTTGTGTGTCTGACTGATTTGAGAAATTGGTTTGAGTTCCATGGCTGACTTTTACAGCCTGACATCGAGCAGCCAGTCGCCATGATTGTTCATAATAAGGCCTCTTGACTGTAGAATGATGGCTAGATTTATCTAAGGCCACTGGAAAGTCATCGGTATCTGAAACGCCACCTACATTATCATCACAATCTGAAAGAACTTGAATTGCGGTAGTGTCCTGACTCGCGTCAGTCCAGGTAATCTTTTTTTCTTCATTCAAATTTTTTTTTTTTATCTTCCTGGTCTCACCGTCATCATCAAAGTAACAGTGGAAACGACCTTCCTTAAATTCTTTCACAAGAGCATTAATTTTCATGTCATCTTCTCTCATTATCTGAGACCACGTTTTCCCCACAAATGAAGGAGGGACATGAGGCAAGGCTTCAAGGACAGGTTCATCAGGATCGTCTTCTATGACTTCCTTTACCTTTTCCAGGTTCCTGGCAGGATCAACTATGAAAATAGAGGTTGGGTGGGAATCACGGTTTGTTTCTTCTGGGTCCAGAGACATCTTCTTGTAGAGTCCCGTTTTATTAACGGCTTCTTGAGGCTGGTCAGCGTCAGATTGAAGAGAGCACTGGAAACTCATTCCAGAACCACATGGTTCACAGCTCATACTTTCTGGATCTGCATGTTTTAACTTCAAAATCTTTCCCTTACTAGCCCTCTGATGGACTGCTGACCCAGAAGAGACACTACAACGCACTGCAGAAACAGTAGCTTCACAGTGCTTTTCTTTTCGGCCACCGGTTTCTAGACCTTTCCTTTGACAAATGTTGATTCCTTTGTCTTCTTCCTGGAGCTGCTCAGCCGTTGGCTCAGCATCGTCTTCCCATTTAAAATCTGTTTTAGGACTATCCGATTCACAACTCTTCTCTTCTGAGTCAATAATTTTCACCATTTCTTTATCAGACTCTTGTGATGAGTAAGTCACAGACCGATCTGGGGGGTCGATTTGAAAATTTATTTCGGAACCGTAAGACTCACAGCTTGACTCCTGCAGAATGATATAGTCTTTCTTCTGGTTTACCACTTTGAAAGTCTCTTTGCACTGGTTTGCCAGTGACTGAGGAGAGGCTTCACAAACATATCCTATTTCAGAACCACAAGAGTCACAGCATTCACCTTCTAGATCATAGCCTTCCGTATTTATACAATTAATTTCTTTGACAGTCATGTGAGGTGAGTCAATCACTGGCTGAAAAGGCATATCAGACTCCGCAATCACTTCACAATCACTATCACTGGTCACCAGGTCCACAAAGAGCATCTTTCGAAGATTTGCTTCTTTAACTGACACTTGAAGTTCATTAACCACTATTTCAAGAGGGACATCAGAATCACACATTAATTCTGAATCACTAGGTTCACTGGTCTTTACTTCCATGCCAAGATGCCCTTCTTTCGGAAGATCTATTTCTTTGCACACCACTTCGGACTGGTCAACTTCTAACTGCAAATGAATACCAGAATCACATTTTATTTCAAAAACACTAGGTCCACAGCTCTTATTTTCTAGGTCATTTTGCAAGTTTATTTCTTTGACAGCCAAAGGAGACTGATCAATCACAAAGTGAACAGGAACATCAGAATCATAACTTACCTCGAAGTCACCTAGTTTGTAGCTCTTATCTTCCAGGTAAATATGGTCTTCCTTCCAAAGACTGACTTCTTTAACAGATTTTTGAAGCTGGTCAGCCACTGACTGAAGATGACCATCAGAAATGAAAGTTATTTCAGGACAAGCGATAGTGCTCTTGTCTTCCAAACTGGCATGTTCCCCTTCCAAAAGGTGTGGTTGCTCAACCACTGATTCAAGAGGGACATTTGAAACATAAATTATTTCAGAATCATTGGGTTCATAGTCCTTATCAGCCAGACAAACATGTCCTTCCCTCAGAAGATTTATTTCTGCAATAGCATCTTGAATTTCATTAGGCACAGACTGAAGAGGTTCATTAGAATCAAAATTTATTTTAGGATCACTAGGTTCCACAATCGTCCCTTGCATGTCAACATGCTCCTTCCAAAGGTTCATCCCCTTAACGACTTCTTCAGTTTGGGCAGCCACTGACTGACAGAGGACCTTAGAATCATACATCATTTCAAAACCCTTGGGTTCATCCCTCTTATCTTCCACATCAGCTTCATCCCTCTTATTTTCCACATCAGCTTCATCCCTCTTATCTTCCACATCAACTTCATCCTTCCAAAGGGTTATTTCTTTAACAGTTTCTCTAACCTGCTCAGCCACTGACTGAAGAGGATCCTCAGAATCAAAACTCATTTCAGAACCACCAGATTGACTGTGCTTATCTTCTACTAGCTCAGTATGGTCCTGATCCAAAATAGTTACTTGAGGTTGATCAATTATTGACTCAACCAAGAAATCAGAATCCAAACTCACTTCAGAACCACTACATTGGCTGCTCTTATCTTCCACGTTCACATGACCTTCATTCTCTGGATTTACTCGTTTAATAGCCCCTTCAGGTTTATCAGCCACAGACTGAAGAGAAACACCAGAAGAGCGTATTAATTTAGAACCTTTAGTTTGAACCTTTTTATTTTTCATTACAACTTTCCCTTCCTTCCTCAGGTTTGTTTTCTTAACCACTTCCCTAAATTGTCCAGTCAATAGCTGATGAGGGTCACCACAATCATATCTTATCTTAAAATGACTAGATTCACGGTTTTTATCTTCCAGATGAACATTTTGTTCCTTCAGGCGGGTTAGCTGAGGTTGGCCAATGACTGAATGAAGAGGGGCACCAGTATCCAAATTTACTGCAAAACCTCTAGCTCCAGTACTCTGACCTTCTAGGACAACACGGTCCTCCTTCAAAACAGCAATGTGAGGCGTTTCAGTCATTAAGTGTGGAAGGACATGAGACCCAAACATTATTCCAGAACTGCTGTATTTATCACTCTTTTTTTCTAGAACATGTTGTTCTTTCTGAACATTGATTTCTTTGACTGCTATCTGAGGTTCAGTCACTAAATAATGAGGGATGTCAGAACCTGTTGCAGAACTACTAAATTTAGGACTTTTACTTTTGAATTTAGCATGCCTTTCTTTTTGGAGCCACATTTCTTTAACAGCGGTTTCAGGCTTGTGAGTCACTGACTGATGAAGATGGACACCAGGATCCAAACTTGTTTCATAAACGCTTAATGCATTATCCTTATCTTGTAAGTACATGTGTTCCTTCTGATGGCTTATTTCTTTAACAGCTATGTTAGGATGATCAGTCATTAAATGATAAGAAAGGTCAGATTTCAAACTGATTTCAGAAACACTAGGCCCATTACCTTTATTTCCCAAGTGTATGCACTCTTCCTGAAGATTCATTTCTTTAAGGGGATTGTTAGAATGTCCAGTCATTGAATGAAAAATACCATAATCCAAACTTAATTCGGAACCACTAGGCTCATTGTCCTTATTTTCTAAGTATATCTGCTCTTCTTTTTGAAGATTTAGCTTTTCCATAGCTACTTCAGGAGGGTCAGTCACTGAATGAGAAGGGACATAAAAATCCAAACTTATTTCAGAACCACTGGGTTCATCATTCTTCCTCCCTAAGTGTATATATTCTTCCTTCTGAATGATTATGTCTTTAACAGCCAGTTCAGGTTGATTAGTCCCCGAATGAACAGGTATATCAGAATCAAAAGTTACTTCAGCAACACAAGATTTATTAGTCTGATTGTCCAGATGACTCGGTTCTTCCACATAAATAGCTACTTGAGGCTGGTCAACTCCTGAGCGAAGAAGAATATCAGAGTCAAAAGTTATTGCAGAACTATTTGACCCAGAGTGCTCACCTTCCAAGTTAATGTGCCTCTTTCTTATTTCTTCCATGTCCATCTCAGAATGTTCAGTACCTGACATAGCAGGGGGATCAGATTCAAAAGTCAGCTCAGAACTGGAGCACCCATAGCTCTTAACTTCCATGTCAACATTTAACTCTTTCAGACTTATTTCACGTTGATCACTAGGTGACTGATAAAGAGAGGCACGAGAATCAGAACTTTGATCAGAATTGCTAGATTTAACACTCTTATCCTCCAGGTCAAGAGCTACTTCTCGAGCGTTCACTTTTTTAACTATTACTCCAGACTGGCCAGCCACCAATCGAGCATCAGTGTGAAAACTCATTTCAGAACCATGAGAATCATAGTTCATATCCACAGGTTCATTCTTCTCTTCCAGAAGGTGTATGTCTTCAACAGCCCTCTGAGATTCATCAGTCACTGTCTCAAGGGAGACAGCATAATCAAGATGGGCTTTAGCACTGCTGGATTTAAGGTTCTTATCTTTCAGGTAGACCTGTCTATCCTTTACATTTCTTTCTTTGACAACCAGGTGAGGATGCTCAACTACAGACTGAGGAGAAGCATCGTTATCAATACTTGTGTCTGAACAACTTGAACCATAGTTCTTATCAACCAAGCCGATGTGAACCTTCTCAAGTTTTGCTTCTGTGACAGCCACTGGGAGTTGGTCACCTACTGACTGAAGAGGAAACGGAGAATCAGTACTTACTTCGGAGCTACTAGATCCATAGTTCTTATCAACCAAGTCAATGTGTTCCTCTTTAGGAAGGTTTCCTTCTTTTGCAGGTTGCCGGGGGTAGTCATCAGTTGATTGAAGTAAGGCATCACATTCAAAATTAATCTCAGAATCACTAGATTCATAGCTTTCATCAACCAGGCTAATAGGCTTTGCCTTCTGAGCACTTACACCTTTAACGATTACTTGAGTTCGGTTGGTAGCTAAAGGAAGAGAGCCATCACGATCCGAACTCACCACAGAAATGAAAGATGTCTTATTCTTACACTGCAAATCTGCGTACGCTTCCTTTGAAAGGTCTACTTCTTTGGCAGTCACCTTAGATTCATCAGTCAGTGAACGAGGGGAACTGCAGTCAAAACTCATTTCAGAAGCTCTCGAATCATAGTTTTTATCTTCTTGGTCAGTTTGCTCCTCCTTCCAAAGGTCTTGTGCAGTCTCTTCGGGTTGATCAGACGCTGACTGAAGAGAGCCACGAGCAAATTTCACTGCAGAAATCACTGAGCTCTTCTGTTCTAAAAAGGCTGACTTATTAAAAACCAAATGCTTTTCCTCTTGGGTATGATCCATACCAGAAAGGAATTTCTCACGGTGCTTTGCTGTAGCATCTTCAAAGGTTCCCTTATTAGAAGGCATGCCACTTTTATTCAGGCTGATTGCTTGGTTGACAGCTAATTTGGAAAGAGATTCAGATTTTAAGGAGCCTTCAGTACCCATAAATTCACGGACTTTAGCGCCAGCTGACAAAGCTTTACGCTGAGATTTTACAGCTTCCTGTATAATCAATTTATCTGAATTTGTACCTAAAGATTTCCTATTTGGTTCTTTAGGTTTCTGATACGAAACTGAAGTTTCTAGGTTGGACGGCGGCACAGGATTTCTAGAGCCCCTGTCTGGCTGTTCAAGGTATCTGTCAACTTTGTTCGGGTCACATTTTCTGACTGAATCCGAACTGGCTGCTGCTGCTAACTTAGTTGTTTTAGGTGTAACTGGTCTGTCAAAGGAACTTCCAGCTAAACAACTAGCAGGAGCACTAGAAATCACTGACGGACATATTAAGCTTGGTCTAGTATGTGTAGCTTGACCAATACCAACTGGGTTAAATTCTTTCATGCCACTCCCAATTTTCTGAATGAAACCCAAGGGTTGCTGCTGTCCCTTCTCCAGTTTTTGAATAACTGATGGTCTTACTGAAACACCCTGTATACATTCCTGAGATTTGCCAGGTCTAGCATGTAACTCTTTACTAGGTTCAGAACCCTTGCTAGAGCTCTCTCCTTTTACGCCAGCAGCATCCTCAGTTGCTTCTTCAGAAACAGAATCATCAACAGGAACCACTTCAGGAGGTGGCGCAGTATTCATAAGAAGTCTCTCATGTTGGGTTGATCTAAAAAGCAAGGGGGAAATCCATAAAAATATTCTAATATCTATTTTAAATGTTACAATAAACGTACAATAAACGTTTTCTTGCTATCCTGGGCCTGACTGTGAGAGGACAAAGAATCAAGGCGATCACATGAGGCTATATACCATGTGTATATTCAGGGAGGGAAATCAGTAGAGAAGGTGGAGGCAGCTCCACCAATTGCTACTTAATAAACACAAAATGGCTCCTAAACATAAAAAGCTGTTTAAAAAAAAAAAGCAATATATCATTTATCAGTTATCCCAGCAGTCAACAGCAAAGTGTTACATATGTTACTTAACCTTCTAGGCTTCAGTTCTCTCCCTCAAAAAAGAACATAATGTTATTTTTCCCTCATGAGATTGTTTTGAGAAGTAAATTCGTTGTTATATGTAAGGAGCATTTTTTAAAAGCCTGGAAAATATAATCATTCAAATGTTAGCTATTATTTAACACACTGTTGGGTTTTTAAAAGTTTTTATTTAAATTCCAGTTAGTTAACATACAGCGTAACATTAATTGCAGGTATACAATTTAGTGCTTCGACACTTCCATCAGATGCCCAGTGCTCGTCACAAGTTTAACTCCTTAATCCCCATCACCTATTTCACCTCTCCTCCAGCCCACCTCCCTTCTGGTAACCATCCATTTGTCTTCTATAAGTTAAGAATCTGTTTATTTGTTAGCCTTTCTTTTTTTTTTTCCCTCTTGTTCATTTGTTTTGTTTCTTAAATTCCACACATGAGTGAATTCATATAGTATTTGTCTTTCCGACTTATTTCACTTAGCATGATACTCTAACTCCATCCATGTCATTACAAATGGCGAGATTTTATTCTTTTTTATGGCTGAGTAATAGTCCTGTGTGTGTGTGTGTGTGTGTGTGTGTGTGTGTGTTAGGCTATTGTAGATAATGCTGCCATACACAAAAATAAATTCAAGATGGATTAAAGACCTAAATGTGAAACATGAAACCACTAAAATCCTAGAGGAGAACACAGGTAGTAACCTCTTTGACATTGGCTGCAGCAACTTCTTCCTACATGTCTTTCTGGAAAAACAAACTATTGGGACTTCATCAAAATAAAAAGCTTCTGCACAGTGAAGAAAACAATAAAACTAAAAGGCAACCTACCCAAATGGGAGAAGATATTTGCAAATGACCTCTCTGAAAAATGGTTAGTATCCAAAATATATAAAGAACTTATAAAACTCAACACCTAAAGAACAAATAATCCAATTAAAAAATGGGCAGAAGACATGAATAGACATTTTCCCAAAGAAAACACACAGATGGCCAACAGACACATGAAAAGATATCTAGCATCATTCATCGTCAGGGAAGTACAAATCAAAACTACAATGAGATGTCACCTCACACCTGTTAGAATAGCTAAAATCAAGGGCGTCTGGGTGGCTCAGTCAGTTAAGTGTCCAACTCTTGATTTTGACTCAGGTCATAATTTCACGGTCACGAGAGCAATCCCTGCACCACGTTCTATGCTGGGCATGGAGCCTGCTTAAGATTCCCTCCCCCTCTTCCTCTGCCCCTCGCCACCACCAAAAAAAAATTTTTTAATTGCCAAGAGGAGTTGAGTTAATGGAACATGGTTATCCCAGATGGGACCTTGAAACAGAAAATGTCATTAGGTAAAAACTAAAAACAGCTGAATTAACTACAGAACTTAGTTAATGTATTAATATTGGTTCATTAATTGTAACAAATGTGCCATAGTAATGTAAGTTCTTAGTAATAGAGAAACTAGGTAGAGAAGGGATATAGGAACTCTGTACTACTTTCTCAAGTTTTCTGTTGATCTAAAACTGTCCTAAAGTGTAGTCTATTAAAAATAAATAAGTTTTTTAAAGTAGATTAATACCTAAAAAATACCTTTATTAAATATTTTTCAATTTGAGAGATGCTTTAATCACCTAAGAGAAATGTATACATGCTCAGCCACAGGCAACTTTCCTTTAACGTATCATAAATATCATTACTTCTTTCCCATAAAAATTTATTATAATTAACACTAAAAGAACATTTTTTTTGGTATTTGTAAAATTAAAAAGTTAACCCAAATATCAGAATAATACAGGGCAAAGAAATTCCAGCATGTTTCACACTTCTGAACTCTAATCAATAAAAGTGTAGTACCATTACCATTTTACCCTAGTTTTTCAGAACCCTAGAAGACTATCACAACATTCTCAAAATAAAATTAATCTTGTAACGTTTGGCAAAGGAAGTAAGGAGGAATCATAAAATCAAACAGTTCGACAAAATCCCAAAAAAGTTAGGAATCACCATCTAGGTGCTTTGATTTGCCTCTGTATTTGCATGTGGTTAAAATTAACTAAATCACAATCTATATTTCTACTCATTTTAAACTAATTTCACAACAAAATCCCTCTAAAAATCTAACCATTAAAGATTAAAAGCCCTTTTATCTAATTCTTGTGCTAAATTTTTAAAATCTATAAATAAAATAAAAACTACACATCAAACCTATGAGATGTAAGCAAAATGGAAACCTCACACTTTTAAATCCTCCACTAAAAAAAGAATTAGCAGACACAAATTAACTAAATGAGCTCTTAATTCACAAAGAAAGATAATCAAATTCCCCCCCACCCAGGAAATCTGAGGAAATTAATTAGGAAAAAGGAAAACCAATAAATAGAAAAAAAATAAAGTAAGAGCTGATTTCAAAAAGATTAAAATAGAAAAACGTACAATGTCTAGATAAGGGGGAAGAGAAAAAACTTTTAGAAATAAACTCTGTAATTTATAATGCTTATAAACATAAATAATGTGTTAGCATGGGATTAAAAAAAACTCGAGGTAAAAAAATGGAATTCAAAATCAGATCTACTGATGGGAACGTAGATATAGATACACAAACAGAGGAATTTACGTTACAGGTGATATTTTTCTGTTTTTAAAGTAATCTCCACACCCAACATGGTGCTCAAAATACACAACCAGGAGATCAAGAGTTTCATGCTTTACCCACTGAGCCAGCCAAGCGTCCTTACAGGTGACATTTTATATCAATGGAGATAATTAATATACTTTTACAAACAAATAAGAAGTCCTGCCTCACACCACATATGGCAACAAATTCCAGGAAGATTAAAAATATTTAAAAGCAGGGCGCCTGGGTGGCTCAGTGGGTTAAAGCCTCTGCCTTCGGCTCAGGTCATGATCTCAGGGTCCTGGGATCAAGGCCCGCATCGGGCTCTCTGCTCAGCAGGGAACCTGCTTCCTCCTCTCTGCCTACTTGTGATCTCTCTCTCTCTCTGTCAAATAAATAAATTTAAAAAAAAAATCTTTAAAAAAAAATTAAAAAAAATATTTAAAAGCAGAAATAAGGACATGAAGAAAAAGACATGAAAGAAGCCATAAAGGAAAATTCCGCTTACATCTAATTATGTCAAAATGTTTAATTTCTATATGGTAAAGGACAATACACACAGATGAAAGACACATGACAGATGCTGGGAAAATAATTATATTTAAAATACAAAGGACTATTATCTATAAATATTGCATACAAATCCAAAATACAGAAACAATTCAATAGAAAAAAATGCAATGTCTACAAATAATCCATAAAATAAACATATGGCTGAAAAAAAACTTATGTAAAGAGATGTTCTATTTTACTCATAAGTAAATAAAGGCTAATGAAGGGATATGCCTTTTTGGCCTATTATGGGGAAAAAAAGAAGTTGCTAATCCCAGTGTTAGCAAGAACAACAGTAAATGAGCACTCTCATAGACTACTGGTGTATATGTATGTTATATAAATTGTATATAAATTGGCATAGTCTTCTAGGAAGTGTCTCAAGAATTTTAAAGTTCCACACACCACCTGAGCAACAAAAGTAACAGTAAATTATTAACACCCATAGGAGACACAGCCATGAGTTTAAAATGATATAAATAGATAAATAAGGTAACCAGAAAGCTCTTCTTTATGGAGGCTAATATACATAATAACTGTTTCAGGGAAGAACCATCAATGAACGCTTACAATAAATGGGTGGAAATGAGAAACAGGGTATTTATTTACATAGTCTCAAAGTAGTTCTCCACAAGTCTTATTAATTATAATGGGGAAAGAGTAACATTAGAGAAGCCACCTTAATTAAGTGATCCAAGTTAACATCACCAGCCATGAGACATGGAAACATCATGGATCGCTTGAATACACTGAGAAGGGCACAACACCAATTATAATTTACTCTTGTTCCAAATGCATAACCTAACTTTAATCATGAGAAAGTGTCAGGCGTATCCCAACTTGGGGAGATCCTACAAAATAACTGGCCATCAGAGTCCAAGGCTTGAAAGCAAAGACTGGGCAACTGTTCCTGATTAAGAGTGTCTGAGATGGGGCAACTAGATGCCATGTGTGATCCTGGACTGAATCCTGGTCCCAGAAAAAGGACATTAGGAAGACAACTGACAAAATCTGAAGGAGGACTATCAATAGCATGTAATTTCATGGATTTGATCATTGTACCGTCATTATTTTAGATTTAACATTTGAAGAGTCCAATGTTTTTGTAGCAGTTTTACAACTTTTCTGTAAGCCTGAAACTATTCCAAAATGAAAGGTTAAAAAATAGAAAATATTTTCTAAGGCCCAGAAACTTGAGCCCAGAAGTTCAAGTTCTAGAATTCTACACCACAGAAATAGCTGCATGTACAAATGTCTGTTAAAGCATTGCTTATACAAGCTATAAGCTGGAAATTTATACTGAGCCCAAGACGGTCTATCTTTCCGACAGCTAAAGAAAGACATTTATTTTTTAAACTTTTTCCCCATTTAAATTTTTTCCCCATTTGCTCAATTCTGGGTTGTGACTTGCAAAACAAAGCATTCAAGAAGTTTATCCTTTTTCTACTGCTGGTGCTTATCTCAACTATTCTGCACAGATATGCTAATAATCTGTTTTGCTTTATCGCCTACAGCTATAGCTGCAAACCTGCACACAGTACTTAATCTAATCTCCTACCAATGTTTTCTTTGACATACATTAACGCTTAAATGTTATCAAAATATTTATTTTTATTAAAACAACCAAAACACTGATACAAAAAAAGCTATCAAGACACTGACAGATTAAAAAGCAGATTCCATTTGTTACCTCTTCTCTTCAGTTAGCAAATAATTCAGTTAAGGTGGAATGGACTTACTTTACTTACTCTGCTGCAGTCACCAGCTGGTCGTTCCTGATCTTCTAAAGGCTATTTTTGCCCCCACCATATTCCCCTGCTTAATCCTACGATATACTTAACAGAACACCTTAATGATGGATAACCATTTATTGACCTAAGGCTTTTATTTAGAAAAAAGCAGGGTGTGGTCCATATCTCTTACAGTGAAATTTCTTATTTAAGCTAGAAAAGATTTTAAAATAGAAGCAAAGAGAAGTTACCAGGTAAAATTTCACTTTATATTCTTTAATGAAAAGGTTTATTTTAAGAAGTACGAGACTGGAAAAACAGTCTGGAAAAACCTGGAACATACAAGAACGCTGTGCTAACAGAATTCCGGTCAGCGACTTTCTTTACCTGTTTTCTTGAGAATGATATGGGTGGTGCCGGAGCACGTCCTGCAGGAATCGTTCCATCAAGCTCGTGGTGCCCATCCTCTGTCGATTCTGGGTGGTCAAGTATCTGTGCTGGGCACTGGCCATGTGCTATTAAAAAGAAAAAACACACTAAGCAGTTTTAAACCGGTAATACTCAACAGTAGTGAGAGTTTCACAAATGGATTCATTTAAATACTCTGGATAGAAGTATAAATTGAGACAGCCTTTTTGCACAGCAATTCTAAAATGTGTATCAAAAAACATAGAAGTTACTCTCCCTTGGATATAGTGATTACATTTCTCTAAATCTCTTAGGAAATCATCGTAAATGTGGACTATTTATGCAAAAAATGACGCTTATCACAGCATGACAACAAAAAACTGGAAATCTTCAAAGTGTCTAATAGTAAAATCTATAGCATGACCTAAGACATAATACTATGCAACTACCTAAAATAATATGAAAAATTTTACATAACATGGAGAAATGTTAGATAAGAGAAAAATGGGGGATGCAAAAATCACATGTATGCTTTTACCTAAACCTGTGGTTTTAAAATATACAAACAAAAATAAAAGAAGATAAAATAAAAAATAAAATAAAATGTACAGACAAATCAATGGAAGAAAATGCACCAAAATCTTAAAAGCATTTACATTTGTGGGCTACACTTACAGGTAATTTTAATTTTTTTCTTATAAATTCTTATATTTGTACTGAGCAAATATTTTTATAAAAATCTGTTAAAATAGAGAAGAGGGTTGGATCACTGTATTTGTAAAAGTTGAAGATTATGGGGCGCCTGGGTGGCTCAGTGGTTTAAGCCGCTGCCTTCAGCTCGGGTCATGATCTCAGGGTCCTGGGATCGAGTCCCACATCGGGCTCTCTGCTCAGCGGGGAGCCTGCTTCCCTCCCTCTCTCTGCCTGCCTCTCTGTCTACTTGTGATCTCTCTCTGTCAAATAAATAAATAAAATCTTTAAAAAAAAAAAAAAAGTTGAAAATTAATAATGCACAAAAAGTCCATCATTTTTCTTCAGAGATTACAACTCCTCACTTAAACAGAATATTGGAATAAATACACAGAATTTTTCTATTTTGGGGCGCCTGGGTGGCTCAGTGGGTTAAGCCTCTGCCTTCGGCTCAGGTCATGATCTCAAGAGTTCTGGGATGGAGCCCCACATCGGGCTCTGTGGTCAGCAGGAGCCTGCTTCCCCCAACCCCCTGCCTGCCTGTCTCTATGATCTTGCTCTGTCTCTGTCAAATAAATAAATAAAATCTTTTTAAAAAAGTTTTTTTTCTGTTTTATAATTCTCTCCACAGAGTCTGTGTTCACAAGTGTCCTTCAGTGAACTATCTAGAGGTGTGGGAAAGAAGCCTACTGAGCCCATGTAATGCGTCAAACACGGTGCTATTCCATTCACAGAGTCAGCTCATCGAATTTTCACTGAGTCTGAATCTTGTCCCCATTTTGATATAAAGAAAGTAAAACACAAAGAATTGGAGTAAAGTGCCTCCAGCTGAGCAGCCAGGGACAAAGCCAGGGTTTCGTCTGCATCTAACTCTAAAGCTTATCCTCTTTCCCTGTAACATGCTACTGCTAATGCCCTATTTCCAATGTGAATTATTGACAACAATTTAATAACATGTTTTCATCTAACAATACCAAGGAAAAGTCCAATTTTAAATATCATAGTAAAGATGCCAAAAGAACTTAAGCCAGGTTGCCAGCTACTGACCACTGTTAACAACTCCTGGAATTCTCTCCTTCCACGCTGACTTCAGGGATCTACTTTGATGCTGCCTTAGCCCCAGGAACAGTCTAAATTATGACAGTCTCAAGATCCTCCGCCCTCAAAGCTCCCCACTGTCCAGTACCCTCGCCCTCCTGGTTCATGAAGGGAACAAAGGTACAAGGAAACAAATAAAGGTTCAACTAAAATCCAACCTCATCCTCTCTCTGCCTCAGTAAAAATTTTAAAAAGTCAACATAAATGGAAAAGTTGCACTGACACAAACCACAGATAACACCACACTATATATCCCAGGAGTTGTCAGTTTCTTTAAATTTTCTGAATTGACATGCACATAAAGATAAGTGCACAAATCATATGTATAGCTCAATATATCATCACAAAACAAAACACATCCCTAACCATCTATCCATGAAAAACTAAGGAGCACTCAGAACCCTTCTAATGTCCCATACCAATCTAATATTCCTTTCCTCTTCCCCCAAATTAACTATTACCTAAATTTTGACAATATAGATTAGGTTTGAAAGTTTCTAAATTTATGTAAGTGTAATCATACAGTCTATATACTCTTTCACATTCATACTTATCCAAATTAGCTGTAGTCCATTCACTTTAATTTCTGCGTAGCATCCCATCATATGAATAGACCATATATTATTGATTCATCTCATTCTTTTTTTTTTTAAGGTTTATTTATTTGACAGAGATGACAAGTAGGCAGAGAGGCAGGCAGAGAGAGAGAGGAGGAAGCAGGCTCCCTGCAGAGCAGAGAGCCCCATGCGGGGCTCGATCCCAGGACGCTGGGATCATGACCTGAGCCGAAGGCAGAGGCTTAACCCACGGAGCCACCCAGGCGCCCCAATTCATCTCATTCTTGATGGACATTTGTGTCTTTCACAGCTCAAGACTGTTATAAATTATGCTGCAAAAAACTTTCTTATATGTGATTTTTGGTGCCCACGTGCATGCATTTTTGTTGAATGTATTAGTAAGGCTGGAACTTCTGGGTCATAAGATTTGCGTATACTCAGCTGTAGTACCCTCTGTTGACTAGTCTTCCAAAATGGCTGTACCAATTCGCACCCTCCCCAGCAATGGATCATAGTTTCCATTCCTCTTTCTCCTCATCAACACTTGCCATTGTCAGGCTCTTTAATTTTAGCTACTGGAAAGGGGGGTGGGGATTCACGTTGTTTCACTATTGCTTTACAATTTTTTTGATAGCTTTTCATTTTCCTGGCCACCTGGATATCTTCTTTTACGGTGTGTCCAAATCTCTTCCTGTTTTTCAAGTGCATCTTTCTTTTTTTTAAATGAACTATAGAAATTATTTATTCTGGACATGAGCTCTTCTTTCAATTATGTGTGTTTCAAGTATCATTCCCTGTGGCTTACCTTTTCACTTTCTTTTGGGAGGGGTATCATAAAGTGTGTGTGTGTGTGTGTGTGTGTGTGTGTGTGTGTGTGTGTGTGTGTATCCACAGCTTTTCCAGGAATAGTTACAGGGCATTTTTCCACCTTCTTAATCATCTCTCATTGCTTCTTACTGCAGTCCAATTTACCATTTTTTTTTTCTTCGCCAGTGCTTTCTGTTACAAGTTTAAGAAATCTCTCCCTACCTCAAAATCATGGAGATTTTCTATTGATTTCTAGAAGCTTTATTGTTTTACCTGCAATATTTATATCTATCATCTACTTGGAACTGACTTTTGTGTCCAGGATGAGATAGTAATAGAATTTCATTTCTTTTTCTCCATATGGACAGCCAACTGACCCAGTACCCTTTACTGAAGAAATTCCTGTCCTCACCATGCTTTAGCGCCACATTTGTCACAAATCAAAGACTCCAGAATCTTTTCTGGAGTTTCTGGTTTATTTCCATAATCTTTCTGACTTTGTACCCTTGTCTTAAAGACTGTAGTTTAGTAATAAATTTGGATATTTATTACTTCTGACTTTGTTCTTCTTCTCCTTCAAGAGTATCCTAATTTTTCTTAGCATGTACATACATACTTTTTGCATGTACATACATATTTTTAGAATTGGCTTAATTTTCATTAAACACAATTTTTCTGGAATTTTGTTTGGAATTTCACTGAATATATATATTTGAGGAGAAATGACATTCTTATAATATTGATTTTTTCAATCCATGAACTCGGTATAGCACACCAATTATTTAATTTTTTCTTAACTTTCTGAATGTTTATACTTTTTTATATAAAAACCTTATATACATATTTTGTTACATTTATTCCTGAAGAGTTGATGTCCTCTGATGCTGTTGTAAGCATCTCTTTTAAATCTCATTTTCTGTGTGATGTTACAATATAAAAATGCAATTTCTTTTTATGTTGGCCCAAGAAGCTTTCTTAAACTCACTAAAAAAATTTTTTTAATTAAACAAATAATAAATTCACTTATCAGTTCTAACAGTTTACCTAGATATCTTTAGGATTTTCTATGTCCACAATCACACTGTGTACAAATAACAGTTTGTTTCTTTTTATCTAAACTTTTGTCATTTTAATTTCTTTTTCTTTCCTTATTTCCCTGGCTAGAATCTCCAATAAAATATTAAATATAGTTTAATTCAAGCACCAAGTCTATTTTCACTTAATATTCTACTGGTATATTTCTATTTAAGCTTTGTTTTTATTTTTAAATCTGTTTTTTATTATTCTTACCTATCTGATGTCCCTATTTCTCTTCTTTCTTGCCTTCTCATGGGCTGCTTTTTATTATTCCAAGTTTTCCCTTTCTGTTAACCTGGCAGTTAGTTATAGGCTAGGCTCTTTTTCTAGTCTATTAGCAGTAACAGATTATAACAAGCAGCTCAGAACTTACCAAGATCTAAAATTACTTGTTACTTTTACACTCTTCTTGAGCAAGGACTTAACTTGATTTACTCTTTACAGTGTCTATGCCATTGTTGTTGACCCCTCATACGAGATACTATGCATTTAGATCTCCTACCACCTTTCCATTGATCTTCATGCCTTCCCATCTCTCTGAGCTTCCAACTGGAATCATTTTCCTTCTATCTGAAGAACTCTTTTTAGGATTTCCTTCAGTGAGGATCTGCTGATGCTAACAAATTCCCTTAATTTTTTTTCTGAAAATATTTCTACTTCACTTTTTTTTTCAAGGATGTATTTCTTAAGCATAGAACTCTGAGTTGGTAGCTGTATTCTATCTTTTGGTCTCCATTGTTTCTGTTGAATATTCACCTAGATTTGGGCGCTGTATTTCTCCACGACCTTAAAAGTAATCCAAAGCCATGAAATTTATCCATTTCTTTAATCTATTTATTTAATTATTATTTATTTAAACCTTTTCAAATGAATTTATTTAAACCTTTATACTTAGCACATATTACTTTGACTGTCATCATCTTTTTAATGTTTGTTTAATGCATGAGTATCCAAATGTCTAAAAAATTATTTTAAACCTTAAGAAAAAGTTAGACTGAGTGCTTACTGAATACAGCTTGTAGTTAAAGATTTAGTATGTTTTATTACTATCAAAAGTTCAACAAATAATCTTCCAGTCAAGTGATGCTATAATTATCAATTGTGACAGAAATACTAAAGAGAGCTTTGAAACTCATTACCTGCTGCCTTGTGCTTATAACCAGCATTAGAAAGTTTTTTTTTTAAGGCAGAGAACTAGAAATCACAATAAAAACATTTCCTTAGTATGAATTTAAATGATGACTGTTGACAATTAAAACAAATGCAACTCTATAGTTGAATTTTTATGTATTACAATTTGTCTGAGATTTCACTTGGGATAAAACAGTCCAGCACTACCAGGACCAGAGCTTCGTTATATTACGACTTCACCTATGACACAATTCCTCAGCCTAGACCCTGAAGAAAACCTTGAGACTCTTCCAAGTTAACAATCCCGGTCAGAGGACTACAGCTACTATTACCATGAAGACTTGCTTCAAAATGTCCATATACAAGGCTTCACAAACTCTTCCAACAAAAAGAAAAGAAAGGAGCACTCCTCAGTTCATTCTAGGAAGCCCCAATACCAAAACCAAAGATATCACGAGAAAAGAAAGCTACAGACAATATCCCTTATGAATATAGATACAAAAATCCTCCACAAAATGCTGGCAAACCAAATCCAGCAACATACAGAAGGATCAAACACCATGACCAAGTGGGATTTAGCCCAGGGATGCAAAACTGGTTTAACAGCTAAAACTGAAATCAATATAATTGCTACGGACTGAATTGTGTCCCACCCCCAAAATTCGCATGTTGAAGTTCTAACTCCCAATGTGATGGTCCTTAGAGACAGGGCTTTTAGGAGGTAATTAAAATCACAATATATATTTTTAAAAATTAACTGAAAATGAACCAAAGACCTAAATGTAAGAACAAAAACTAAAATTCTTAGAGGAAATTACATGGCATAAATCTTCAGGAGCACAGATTAGGCAATCTTTTATGACACCAAAACCACAAGCAACAATAGGAGGGGGGGAAGCTACATTTCACTACAGCAAAACTTAAAACATTGGTGTGTTAAAGCCTAAACTTCAAAGTCCTTTCCTTATTCTACAACGTCTTATAGAATCTAATCCTCTGAATTCTTCCCCTCACGTAACACCTGCTCCAACTGGCCAGCACTGCAGCCACACGGGCTGCCGGCTTCGGGTTAGCATGCTGACCATCCCCCTGCCTTGGGGTCTCCGTTCTCTTTCCCTCTACCTAGAAATTCTCTCCCCAGAGATAAGCAAGCTGGGATCCCACACTTGGTTCAAATCTCAACTCGAATGTCACTTCCTTCACCCCACCGGCTACTCTATCTAAAACTGCACTCTCTTCTCTCTTTTGTTTTCCTCGTAACATTTATCCCAATCGGACATATCCCTGTATCAAAATTTATATGACTATTTATTTTCTGTCTTAGCACACTACGAAGTAAGCTTCATGAAGAAAGGTAGCTGGATTTGTTCACAGTCTCACCCTGGGAACCTTAAACAGTGTCTACCAACTAGAAGATTCGCAACACGATCTGCTCAGTGGATGAATAAATGAATATAACGTATTAAATAAACGAGGTCTTCTGAGGTTCAAGCACGTTAGCAGGGGCCTCTCACCTGTTCCAGGTTACTATAGCGCACGCAGCAGTAGCTGCAGTATCCTTGTCTGCTCTGCATGGTGAATGACCAAAGTCAAGCGGCTACGGTCCTGGAAAACTCAAACTGAAAAAAAAGACAAATGGCAAAAATGCAATCATTCCCTCCTGCCGTGCAGAAAACAGCTGTGATGGTGTCACAGAGCAGAAATGCATCCCCAAGTCCGAGGCACTCTTCTTTCTGATAATTATGGAATTAGGCGAGGCTGCCGTGAGCTGCTGCCTCCATCGGTGAGCCTGGAGTCCATAGGAGAGCTGTGCATCTTCTTCTCTCTCTCTCTCTCTCTCTCTTTTTAAGATTGGTTTATTTATTTGACATAGAAAGAAAGAGGGAGCATAAGCAGGGGGAGCGGAAGAGGGAGAAGCAGACTCCGAGTCACACTTACCATCTAATTCTGCCACGAAAATAAAGATACTGCACGTACCTTTCGGCTTATTCCACAAAGGGGCAGAATTTAAAATAAATTATCGGACAGAGTCGTTAAAAACCAAAATTACTAATTCATGTCCGAAACACAAGACACTTCTCTTCTGACAACCACATAAAACAAGTTAAATATGAGGAATTTTTTCCAATTGGTGAGATGAGATTTCTCTACAAATCAAGTTCCCACGTTCCGACTCCCTTAAAACTGTAATCCTTCAACATTGCCTTATTGCAGTGGTTCACAAGCTGGGCTGAATATCCAAATTATTCCCCCAAATTCTGATTTAGTAGGGCTGGGACACAGCCTAGAATTCAAATTTAATTCCCCAAGTAATTCTGATACACAACCAATTTATTCACTGACACAGAGTATTTACTATTACTGATTATGTTACGTAATAAATCAATACTATTTCAATTTTGGAGCTGTTTCATTAAAGTGCAAACAGAATCGTAAGAAATAATTTCATCATGTTTTAATTCTAATTATTTTTAACATTCTTGTCTGTTGGAAAATACGTAACAGAATGATCCTATATTGTGTTATTTCTGATAAGATGATTCTGCAACACAAAAAGTTTACTAATTAAAATCATCCTTTAAAATGAAATTACAGCTTTGAAATCAAAGAAAACAGGAGAGTTTTATTAAATGAAAATGCTACCATAACATTCCCTTACCTGTTACGTCTTATTGTAAGAAACTCTGACTTTCTAACTTCCACGCTTACGGGGAAAATAAATCAATTAAACCAGCCTCTGAAACAGAAGAGTACGTTAAAAAATGACTTCCTTAAAATATGGTCTTTTTTCTATGATTTTCCTTCATTTACTGACCTGAAACAGCAAAATGAAACAAGCTTTAGTTGTATTTATAGACAGAGCAATTTTCCAGCTGAAAGAACCATAGCACAAATCTGAACTTTGAAAATCATAAAATAACAAGCTTTTTAATGCTTTTTTCAAAATACATTTAAAACAATCATTGAATGGAAGGCAAAATTAGAGTACGAATCTAATATCAAACACAAAACTGAACTTTAGTTTTTTTGATCTTCAACACTTACAGTCTTCAATTCCCATTTTTATTTCCCATTCCCATTCCGCGTTACTATCAGACAATTCTATGACATCTCTATCATCTCCTGTCACATACATGCTGTGATGACAATGAGCTACAATGACTCAGAAGCACCCGGATGTGCATTTTTAAAACTTTGCATGCGAGAAGCCCCACCTGAAAATCCTACCGAATCAGAATCGCCTGGCAGGGAGCCAGGCACATGCATGTCATGCATATTTAAAATGCTCTAAGGTGATTCTGAGACAGGCTGAAGCAATGACATAAGTCATCACTTTTTATGCATTAATAAAATTCTCACTTATTAACGGGATCATTTCTTTGGGGTCTGGGATTATATTACTTTTCACGACTGAATGGGTTTTTTACTACCAATTCTGAATTCTACTGGTACCTGGTATTTTCATAAAGTAACAAGTCACCTACCTTGAGTAGGAAAGAGCAGGTATTACATCAGCTGTATTAGTCCTGGCAAACATCTGTAAATTAAAGCAATTAAAAAAAAAAGATAAGCCCCCTAAGTATCTTCCATGGGCCAACTACGTACCCCCCGCAAAGAGTCATAGTTAAGTTTGAAAAATAACACAATTATGCTTCAACGGGGAAAAAAAAAAGATTAACTCTCGAACACAAGAAACACTTCAGATACTGTGACTCATTGAATCCTACATGACCTCCTAAGATGCTCTGGAGCAGAGTAACTCTGACAGCCCACCCGTATCACCCACCATCCCATATTTCACATCTCCGGGTTTCAGGAACAAGCAGCTACAAAAGAATAAACTGGGTCCCTGGTAAGGTTAAGAACAAAGATGCTACAACCTCCTATGAGAAATGTTCATGGGAAATGTTTGAAAGAAATATTTACATAAAATTAACTTTGGGTCCTGGACTAACCACGTAACTCAGCTCCTATGTTAGTTTCAATGAAGAATGCTGTCAATTCTTTATCATTTCTCTTTATCAATAGACAATTAAGCCAAATTATCCATTTTTTTATTCTTCTGCACTGTTGCTGGCAGTGTGTTGCCCCTTGCCCGGAATCGCTGGTTAACAAATAATTCCAACACTTGGGTTCAGAAGAGCCCGGGACAGCACTATCAAAGAATAAATATCTTTGCCTACCCTGTGCAGAGTTCCACACTAGAAGCTTTAAAGGATAGAAATAGACAAGCTTTCTTGCTCTCAAGTAGTTTAAAATGGCATTAGGAAATGAATGCAAAAATACCAGGTGGTATCTGAGAAATGCACAAAATAAGTGCCAAAACGTCACAGTGGATGTGGTTTTTTAACCGGATATTGGAAAGTGGGTAGGATTTGCTTAAACAAAGATCAGGAAAAAGTATTCCAAGTAACAAAGACGCATAAGCACAAAAGCAAGAAAGCGGAGGTACATTTAGAGATAGTAAGCTGACAACTTCAGCTGAAGCCAAGATTTCATTTAAAAATTTAAGGGGCAATAAAGCAAGAAAAGTAGATTCAGTTTCAACATATTGTATTTAAAAGAAAACTTGAGAGTTTAGACTACATATTTAGGCAGTGTGGATATTTTTTTTGGAAAGCAGTTTATACAGATAGCTTTAAGAAAATTCTGGAACAGAATTTAAGAAAATTCTGGGACAATGGTTCTTCCCTCTTCAAGGGAGCTTTTCACAGGGTAAGTTAAAATATTCAGCACCATTTTGTAGAATATTGGAAAAATTAGGTAATGTCCAAAATATCCAAATTCAAAGGATCAGTATTAGAGCAAAGACTTAGCCTCATTTATGCTTGCAAATTAGGAAAACACACGTGAGTTTTTTTCTTTAAAAAATTACTTTTATTCATTTTTATTAGGAAAATTTTTATTATGGTACAATTATAAAAATAAAGAGCATAAAATCAGTCATAATCCCACTACCCACCATTAATATTCATCATATATTCTTTGTTCTAAACATGTTTTTACAAAAATGGAATGACACCAGTCTACTCTATAGGCTCTTCTCTCACTTAACCATATGCCGTGGCACCTCTGTATGATATTATATATAATTCCAAAACAGAATCTTTAATAATTGTGTAGTATTTTACCCGTGTAAGACAAAAGCCCTCTTATCTGACAAGATAAGAGCTAGCAGTCAGTGATTTAACGATTTAAAAATGAGAAAGAGGACTTTAAAAATACAGACACACATCATCAATACTTTGTCTAACCTAAAATATATAAATGTATATGTTTGATTCAAGGCCAAGTTAAGCTTTTTGTTTCACTGAGGTTTTTTGTGACTAAGACAGCTAGAGTTCCCAGTCATGTTTTTTTCATATCTTCATAAAACCACATAATAATTTACCATCAATGAGTTTTCACTTTGGTTCCTCTAAAATAGAACAAGAACTTAAAAGACATTTCTAAAACTGAGAGCAGTATTAAGATTAACATTTAAGATTTCCCCCAACCTTTTACAGTTGTCACACCCAATTAAGTACTCTAGCAATGGCGTTTTTTTTTTCAAGTGCAAAGCATTCATTTTTTATAAAAATAATAATGCTATACAAAAAGACAATGCTTACATTCTATTTCACTGGTTCATGAAGCAATTAAAACTGTATAAACTGATGGGGGGCTGTGAACAAAGACCTCTGAACTGCCTGAGGTGACTTCAACACAAATGTCTCAAAATTGCTTTTTTTTTTGGTCTATTTCTTACACAACTGAGATCTGTACCCACTGCAGAGATAAACACACTACTGAAATGAGTTCAGAGTTGTAGTGTGTTTCCCAAGCTGACTGCGGTATTTTGAAATAAAAGCTAACAAAATCCAGAATTCCTATGGGAAATACTTTTCAACCACCTAACAAGAGAGACACCAACTTCATATTAAATTTAAAAAGACAACAGAAACGCTTTGGGTTTATTGAGTAGGATCATCTAAAGTACCTGTCTAGCAATAGGAAAACAACTGGGGAGCGATCACAAAACAATGGCCAAATGAAATAAAAAGACCATGTTATTTCAGTGTCCCTTCCCTTACGACATTAACTCATTTTCAACTTCCCACTTGTCTGGATTATCCATCTTCTGCATCTGGTGACAAGCATTATCCTAGACCCTCCATTCAGTCTTAATAAAATAATAATGGCTAACTTTTAGTGAATACTTAATCTGGTCTAGGCACTATGTCAACAGTTTCATATGCATTATCCTACCTGAATGGCAAAGAGCATTAAGAAATTGGTGTCCTGGGTACTCCTACTTTATAAATCAGGAAACTGAGGTTTAGAGAAAAGCAGTATCTTGTTCCAGGTCACACACCAACAAAAAGTGTAGGGGGAGTTGACCCTAGGTCAATCTGAGCAGTTTATGCTCATAACCTCTTAACTCCCATAAAAATACTTCATCTCTGTATTTTCAAGAATGCTAATTGATTGTTTTAATATTATGTGAAAACAAATAATTAGGAATCTAATTTGCTGCAATAAACACTGTCACATATTCCAAAGAAAAGAGTAAAGATAACGTTCAGCTTAATTG